CTAAGGAATTTGTCTGTTGTGTAAATCTCTTTGAGTGTCCAAAAAAGTGCGATATAAGTTTAATCTATTAATATTATTATTATTATGATTATGATTATGATTATGATTATTGTTATTATTATTATTATTATTTTCACATGTAATGTCATTTCAACACAAGCAAGTCCTCTAAAACTTTTTCTAAAATACTATTAGATCTCTTCCATATGGGATCAGAGAATCAAACAGCTTAAACAATGACATTAACACATAAGGAGCAGATGACCACTATCCATATATGTTGATAAAGTCCATTCATTCTAAAAGAGACACGTGTCTGCATCTATGTCCTTGTATCTAGCCTTTTACATGTGAATATCATGTGCGGTTACACGGTCACATTTGTCTATTATCCTTTCACCACTTTTTATGGTTTTGTTCTGTTCATATTATTGCCCACAGAAGCGTGTACTGTCAACATGTAGTGACTGAGTTGGTCTCTTCACTTGTGCGCATGCATTCCTGAGGAGGCCCACTGCTTCTGGAAACAGGAAGTGGTCAAATTTACCCCCGAGTGTGTCAGAAGTGTGATTTATCTGTGAGAGGCAAAGCTTTTTCGACTGCAGCGAAAACCAAATTTACTCACAGCTTCAGAGGTCTTGCTATTCCCTCTCTGGCGCTCTGGCTACTTAGCATTCCACTCTCTATAAGCATATTTATTTATTTACCCCACGCCCTGCGCACTTATGTCTGATATTTCTCACATCCGCTGCGTCCAAATGCATCCCCGTGGATAAGTGCAATAGCAACACCTGCTTTTTCGGTTTTATTTATCCGAACAAGAGCTCTGCCGGATTACAAATGTGTTTGCTGCGCTCCACTGTGCTGCGAATTGTGGCAAGGCATCAGGGTGAATGAGAGGAGAGAAGTTGATTTTATTGTTTCAGTAATGGTACCTCTTGTACAGTTATGAGGCTCAAGGAAACTTTTGATGTGTGATTGTTGAGATTGTTCAGTCTCTCCTGTATTCTGAAAGAGAATTGGATAATAATCTTTGTGGAGTCTGTCTCTATTCAACAACACTGGTCGGTCTGTTGATATGAACATTTAGGCCTAAGCTTATTCTATTTTCATATGGACTTTGTAAAGAAATGGTTTAGGGACATAAAGGATTAAAATACTTTACTTTACTACTTTATTTTTTATTTATTATGTAAATAAATGATAGGTGATAAGGATAATGGTAAATATTGCTCCATTGGTTGCTTGTTGTGCTTTGAATATTTGATAATCCTGTTCCGTCTGTATTGGGAGAGAAAGACAGAAGGCTACAAGTTTAAAATAGTTTCTTTCTTATATATAGCTAATATGCACACACAGACACAGACTTTTTGTTGTTGTACTGAATATGAATCTAGACACATGCCTCAATCTCGCTTCAGGATGTAGGGTTTAAGGACATGAATTGAGGCAGGACTTTTATGGACTTTGGTTAAACTTTGGCAAAATGGACCAATGACCCTTTGCTATGTTATTCTTGTATTTCACATGTTCCAATTGTTTCATTTTCTTATCTGCTGTTGGCAAATCCACAATTCTAGTGACGCCCTTTCGAGTGCTGATGCGATTACGTGCCGTTGTGATTTTTGGGCTGTACACAAACATACATTGAATTGAATTACCTCTGCTGCAGATCGGTAAAGGCATTCCCCCCACAGAGCAACTGTGCAGGGGTGGCTTTGCAGCTGGGGCCAGTCAACAATACCCTTTTGTGCGCTGGCCTCCTGAGAGTCCCCAGCCACAGACCAGGGAGCTAATTTCAAGGGCAGCAGTTGTTCACCGCTAAACAAGCCATGTCGCCAAATGACCATGTGTTAGCTTGTTGACCAACTCTGGAGGCCACGCATAGGTCGGCTGTCCCACATTCCTCCACACTTACTGACAAGGAAGGAGAGAAACACAGCTCTAGTGGTATTCTATCAACAACAAAGAGAAATCCTTTGTCAGGCGATACAGGATACCTTCTTAGACACAACATGGACGGTATAATTGAGGCACACCAGCTCTGTAATCTTCAGTATTTCTGTTGGAAGTTGCACCGTCAAAAATGGTTGTTTTTGTTCTAACAATAGCTGGATTTACCTAGAATAACAAGCAGAGTAATGTATGTTTATGTGCAGTGTCAAATTTCAATAAATATGTTGATGCCTTCTCTTCCATTACAGATACATAAAACAGATGTAAAAAAAAAAAACGCTATATTTTGTTGATGTCATGTTTTAGTGACATCAAAACTTCATAGAGAAAAGCATTAGCCACATTGTTGTTTACAATTTGTCGTTTATTCTCTAAAGGCTGCGTATTTAAAGCCATCTGCACAGACTTTGTGACCTAGATTTGTATCCTCTCGTAAATTTAGAAGCAGCGGTCATTCAGGAAGTGACTGTGCAAGGGAGATTAATGGAAAAAACAAACTAAACATTGGATCAGGCCGGATAAACTGTAGAATGTTTTACATCTCAAGGCACCTCAACTTTCGCAGCTGGGATATCTTACTCTTATTCCTCACAAATAATACTTTTTTCGTCCTAACAGAGAGCTGAAGTTAAAGAAAAAGTGACCAAATCAGACCACAGACAGGCTGTCTTGATCCTATCTTTTGCATAGCCTTGTGAATCACTATTTGACTCTGAGTGTAGGTGCTTTCTGTTTTGTTTTGACATTCAAAGATGGTTCACACAATTTATTCAGTAGTGATAAACTGGGGAGGACTAGGGCTTTTTTTGTCTAGAAAAGCGGATCTAAAAACATGACAAGGGCCAAAAATACATACATGAGATTCTTAGAACAAGGAATTAGTTTTAAGAATCGGTGTGCTCGACCCTGTTGTAGAACCAACCGAATGCAGCGAACTGTTTGTTGCAGAGCCACGGCTGCCTGGAATACTCTAAAGGTGTTTTTGTTTAGACAAGAATAAATGTTGGTTAATACACTAATTATGTGAGAGTTGCATTGGTCGGTTGAGATTCTGCTTCATAAAAAACAATGAATGTTGTGATTATTAAACATTTTTTAGTTTTGTTTAAGTCATGAATTGTCGGTTTAACTTTGACAGTTGGAGATGTTTAAAATAATCATGATGAAAATGCTATTATTGCTGTTTTATGTGATATGTTTCATTTGGTTTTGCATTGACGGTTTGTCCTGTGTGTGTTTGTGTGTCGTTGTTTTGTTTGTTTGTTTTTGTTATGTAGTATTGTAAACGTTTGTGATGAAAATGAAGGAGATCGCAGGTAGAACAGCTCCTGCAATGAAATGAGTCAGGAGCTATTGGGCCTCTCAATAAAATGAAACGAAATGAAAAAAAATAGTAAGATAAGTTTCATTGTACAGTTACTTTGTTTGTGGTTTGAAATTGCTGTTCCCCACCACTATTTCCCAATCGTATTACTGTAAAATAACTAGATTCAAATAACTTTGATGAAAAAGTCGCTGGGGTCCGGTGGTTAATGCTCAGAAGAGCTTTGTTGAATTAGGGAGACACAACAGGCTGTACACAACAGATCAGCACTCTCAAGAGGGGTTTTGTGCAATCAGCAACTGTAACCATTTTTTTTTTTATTTGTCTTTTTACACAGCTGGTTAAAGGAAAAAGGGTCTAAAATAATAACGAATGGTGTGTGGGTAGCAAGAAATAAATATAGAATTTTTTGTTGTTGCATAGGTCTGCCAAGTTTTATATAAAGGGTAAACTCATTACAGTTTATTTTAATGTTTTACTGTCATGTAGGATGTGTACAGAGGCAATTTTAGATATGCCTTTAAGGTATGCAGACAAGAGCATACCGTGTCATATACTGTTAAACTTAGACTGTGGGAGCGTGTTGTTGACATCATTGCCGCCATTGATTATTGTCTGGCCTTATGTACGGCAATTTGACCTTCCATTTTGTAAGAGTTTGTAAGAGAGGTTAAGATTGAGACTTTGGGATATAGACCATGTTGGAGCCAATCACAGTGCAGCGTTATGGTCTGACAGATGCGAGCCAAGTTTAGGCTTCAACAGCACACAATCCATACTATTTATACAATAGAAATATGTTTCTGCCCCCTCTGCCACGACTGTTCTGGCTTCTAATGTAGCCCTGGCTCCATCTTGATCCGTAATGAGTTCTAATTAACTCAGTGGAAATTAAGTTATAATAATCCCTCTCAATAGATTCATTATCTGATTCTGAAAATATGCAATTAATTAATCATCCACGGCGCTTTGAGTGATATATTCAATTACTAAAGACACTTGTCGTTTATCGGAGATTGACAAATATCACCATCAAATTCATCAAATTTTGTCAATGTGGTTTGGGGGCACTGGTCTTTAACACCCTGCAGCCAAAAACTTGCTGAATTGCAATGAAAATAATCCCTTTTTTGTAAGATGAGATAAGACAAAGAAATGTCAGTTTTGCACCACACAGTAATTACAATACTGTTGTGTTTGAAAGTGTCCAGGTTTTTAATTACTTGTGTGATTTTATTTTTTAATGTCTTGGGATCTTAATGTTTGTTTTTTTATGTGGACTTCATTTTTATTTTAGATTTGCAAATAAAAGTTGATTGATTGATTGGATATACCACGCAAAACAATAAACACTTGAAGAAAACACATATTGGGAATATCTAATCTCTTACAATACTATACATCTCTTCATGCTTTATAGAGTTCTACACAATAATATTTAAAGTAATGGCCTACGATAGATAGAATAATCCAACTTCATGCTCTGTCTAATCAAACCTTCCCGCCCACAAAGAATGTTTTCACTTAAAATAAAAGTACAAAATGATCAAACTTCTTTTCAAACCATGGCATCTCATCAAAAGCCACAATTTCTGCAGACTCACTTAAACCGGCTGGCTCTGTGCAGCGGTGGTGAGTGGGACCAGACTGTTGTTCTTGTAACCTGGTCCAGTAGCCTCTGACTGACCCGCTGGCTTGTGCATTTGTTTTCTGTTCTCAGTAGCCCACCACGACCCGGAGAACACCTTCAACTGCAGCTTCATCGAGCCCCCGTCCTCAGGCGCAGCCGAGCAGCCCTCCCCCTCGTCCTGGTCGTCCCAAGAGTCCTTCTCCTCCTTTGAGAGCGGAGACGAGGGCCCGGTGTACTGCGTGCCCCATGAAGGTGAGTCATCATTCCGGCTAATAAACAAGCCGGACAGTTGTAGTCATGGGAACGACACACGGAGGAAGGCCAAGAGATAAACTGATCTGCACATGTATATTCTGATGGACTCCTGTAAATGACATTAAGTGTGCAATTTAAGCTTGGGAGGCTAACTTTCAAAGCACAGAAAATGTCTAATAATCTATAGTTCTTTGTTATGAAAACAGTTTGGTTCTATAGTTATCTCAGGCCTCTATCTCGTCTTTTATCAGATTTTTAGATATAAACCTGAAAAAACTAGGACCTCTCTCATTCAGCTCACAGTCAAAAAGTGACACTTAGGGTTTAAGATTAAGATGAACAGATTCTTCATTCGTCCCATAGTGGGGAAATTGCAGTGTTGCCTCACAAGTTACAGACAGAGGGAATGAGGAGCACACAGCACAAGAGAAATGAATGATAGCTCTTTACTAAAATAAAATATAATAAAATATCTAACGCTAGCTCAAAAAGAAGCAATATAAAATCTCTATTTTAGGCATGATGAAGAAGCAAGTTTAAAAAAAAATACTTTAGCATAATGAGGAGCATGTGTAAAATACTGTACTGAATATTCTTCTGCAAGTATTATAAAGTTGTGTGTTTATACAACTGTTTCCTTACACAATTTATATTTTTAGAAGATGGCATGGTCCGTCTTGTTCAAAACATTTTGGGACAAACAATATGCATATACTTTTTAGGTACTCGTGGATGTGTACCTTTCTGAAAGAAGAGCGGACGTCTTAATAATTATATTTAAGATGAAAATAAATGACTGAAAACATTAAAACAGGAAAAACAAATGTAGTCTTTTAATTACACATCTATGCATTGTTTGAGTAACCATATGTTTTCATGAAATAAATCTTGGAGCCTTGAAGCATTTAGAAGCAAAGTCATATTAATATCATTATTTTCAGATGGATAATTCATTTGTTTGAACCACAGGGCAGCACATATTCAACCAATCATTGCAAGAAATATTTTTTTTTTATGCTGAGATTTGGAATAATCCCCAAAGTGAAACCTTAATTATCCAAGTGGAGCATAAACAGGAAATGAAAGAGTCATGTAAGCATTTGACAAATCCAAACTGTGACTAAACTGGAGCTCTCCTCAGGAAGTAGGTGGGACTGTCGTGTACGGGACTTGCTGCTCTCTTTAGCTTATTATTATCTGCCTGAACAGATCAAGGACTTGGATAGAAAAACTGCTGCCAAGGTTTTAACTCCACAGCTTTTTCCAGCACGTCTGTATCATGTGAGCGCATCTGCTTTATTGGATTGGTTCCAGTTTTCAACTATGTGTTTACTAATCACCACTTGAGTCTCTCCAGATATCTGTTTCCAATAAGATCGTGTTCGTATAAAACCCTCTTCTCACTGCGAACAGCTCTATACTATCTGACATGTACAATCTTAATTCATTGTATCGTCATCATTGTTGTCATCATCATCAGCATAACAAACAAGTCAGTGATTTCTGCGTCATTAACGGAGGAATGCAGTATTTATATTATGGTCTATGCCATGGCACCAAGCTTACATGACTTGGCCACATGTCCCTTCAAATTCTACTAAAAACAACATTAAATCAAATGGTAGAAAAAGTAAAGTTCTCCAGGTTTTGACCTGATTTTCTGTGTGTTATTTCTGACATTCAAGCCTAAATACTTAATTCATAATGAGTTTGTTATGAACTTAATATTAGTCATTGAACAATAATTGTTTCCACTATACTGTACTGTATTTGTTAAACACAGCATTTTGATGCTATATCATCTAGGAATCTACTGAGATCTCTCCTTTGTTCCGGGAAAGATCTAGATAAAACACGGATAATGTAAATATTGTTCAATATTGTTCCATTCCATTTACTTCTGTAATGACAGACTTGTTAGATGCAAAGTTAGACGTACTGTAGCAAGCCTTTATTTGTTACAATGTTATAAGTAATATTGTATTTTTTTTAAATTAAATGAGCCATAAACCCTCAAAATATTAACAAAGACTAAGCATATGTCACTTTGCACGTTCTATGAGTCTATATCACTCATTTATATCATAGTATTTTCTTGGACGTTTACACACCCAGGCAGAAATGTTGAGATTTTACTTTTGGCTGTATTTCAGAGGGTATTGTCACTTTCTTGGCTGCCCCTCCCAAACTGCATGTGTGAGATTGCCACATTTATTGTGTTAACTGTGTATGGCTCCACACAGCCACTAACAATGAGTTGAAGAAAACAATGTTATCATATTATGTTATTTTATCATTCATAATTTCCAAAATATTCAGATTCAGATTTGCAGGAAAACCACATTGGAATAATACTACCCAAGTGTACACCAATACACACTAGAGCGCCAGGCATCATGTCTCAACACCATAAAATATGGCAACAAGCAAAAGGCAAAAACATTGAAATATCAGGCAGGGTATGTATACGTTCAAGGCCAACTGTACATATTTCAACAGTGGAACAATAATTAATTCCTTTTTATAGACTGTAGGATATATAAGAGAAAAGAACAGATAATTAACTGTGGCATTGTTTCTACTTTCCTTCACAGAGTCTGTGAATGACAAACACAGCCCAAGTCCTCCAACAGAGAAGCCTCCTGCTGAGGATGAAGAGGACGCAGGAGAGTACACCTCCCTGAAGGACACCAGCGTCACCAAAGCCGAGAAGCAGCCGCTGAAGGCTTGTGAGTCCAGTGAGGGTTCTACCACGGGCTCTGAGTCCACCACTGCAGTGCTGTACGCTCGCATCGCCCGCGGATCCAAGCATTCCAAAGAGGACGAAGGCAGCGGCAAAGATGGAGACAGCACACCTTCGTCGGAGGTCAAGCGCAACGGAAAACCACCTCCTTCACCCAAGCCAAAACCTCGCCCGCCAGACCCATCCACGAAACCAAAGGTGTCCTGGATCCACGGGAACGCTACAGGGTCTCCGCAGCCAGAGGAGCAGACTAAATCACTTTCGGTACCAAAGGATAAGAAGGGCAGGGGCTCCAGCGACGGCTCAGGGAAAAGTGTGCAGCGTCACAAGTCAAAAGAGGCGAACAGAGAGCAGAAAAGGCCAGAGACAAAGGAGGTTGACGCTAATGGCTCGCCCAGCAAACACAAGCCATTGCGCTCGAAGAAATCTGGCGATGAGCACAGCAGCCCGAGCCACATGGACCACATCAATGGGGTGGTCCAGAACGCACTTAAGAAAATTAGTTATTTCCACACCTCGTCACCTGAAAAGAAAAGTGTTGAAAGTCAGAAAGAGGTTCCCAAGGAGACTCCCAAAGTCATCCATCCTCACATGAATTCTGAAGCTGCCACGCTTTTGGCCGCTCAGCTCAAGGAGAAAACACAAAGTATCAACAGAAATGAGGGCACAGGCCTAAATAAAACCAATGGGCTCTCAACTCCTAAAGGAACACGAGAGAAGCCCACTCCTCCACAGAAAGCCAAGAGGACAGCATCCACTGGCTCCAACAAGCCCCTGCTGCCAACCACCAACAGCCTGCAGAAGATGGTGGCACCGATAACAGGGGACGACGAGAGCCCTGAACCCAAGAGCCCGGAGAAGCTGGACTTGAACGGCTCCAAGGCAGGAGACTCAGTGTCTGACTCCACGTCCAAGAAAACCCCCATTAAAAAGCCTCCCAGAAAGAAGGGCAAAGACGGTACTTTGGAAACATCAGAAACTAAGACTCCCCAACAAAAAACGGCCATTATGCCACCACAGATTGTGAAGTGAACTTTATTCACAAGGAATCCGTGCATATTTGGAATGTGTTTTGAATTCAGGATCATTCTATGAGGAGTAGTACTGGTATGTCCAACATTCTACAAGTGTGTGTAATAATATACAACATTGTATGATGTGACAAGAACATCTTTAATCAGTTCCTACTCTAAAGCCAGCCAGGATGGACACAGTTGTAAAGGTAGCACTTTGTATCATCGTCTGAATGACTATATCTGGTTTTGCTCATAGATACAATGGGAGACATTTGATACAGTTCACACATTTCTCTAAAGTTAATGATACTTGTGGGACTGAATAGATAACCTCAATTCTGGTCCAATTCTGTAACTATTTAAATGATCCATCACAGAATAAGTATCAAAAGTAAGGCGAGGCAAGATTATTTGTATACACAGGACAAAGTGCTTGTTTTATCTCTGTCATTCATGGATTGCTTGATTCCAAACAAGCCCTTTGATCTTCAAGAAATAGTAGGATTGAAAACCTCTTTCAAACCAAACCAAAACAAAGCACTTTTACTGTATGTGTCCTTCAGTCAGTGAAACCACTAAACCAGAGATACATTTAAAGCTTCTGCATGCTTCGTTACAGATCACCTTAACCACTCTGCCTTTGGTGCAATATTGACCCACAAATGCATCAGCTACATATTTCAGTGGCCTTTGAAACAGTTTGATAGTTTCTTGTAAAAAAGCTACGGTACCAAGCTTTGAATATAAAAAAGCTTTAGATAATGTTGATTCTATTAAGGAGAAAATCTGTGCCTATTTGTTGCCAAGTGTGTGAACAACAGGACTATTTCTTTGTTTGTTTTTGAAGAGCTATTATGAAGCAGCCCATACTGAAGCCCATACAGATCGATTAAGCGTCATGGTACCACCATTTAGTCTGGTATTATGGGTGTACAATGTACAGTGTGTACTTTTCATGTTGTTATTAAGCTGTGCTTATATGACTTTTTTATTATCTTTGCCAATGAATGAACTGGCTTCCATGGTATATTTGGTTTTATGGAATGTAGCTTTATTGTGTTCAGACACCAGTACAATAATTCTCCTGTAAAGTTTACATAGCCTTTGAAATTGTCCTCTGTTGATGTTATTGTTCGTCCAACACTAACTGCATGACGCAGAGTGGAATTATAAGGCATTAATTATCACAGGAAATATATAACCTCAATGTTTCACCTGCTTCTTTTTTAGCATTATTCCGACTTGTAAAAACTTCAAAGATTGTACATTTTAATGCCACTTTCCAAATGAATGCATTGACGCTCAAATGTTACTCTTGACTGGCCTGGGTTGGGCTTGATATTTGCAAACAACAACAGTATTGAATATTTAGTATTTTGTGGTTTTGCAACTATATTTGAACTGGTGTTTCTTTATCTACCTTTTTGGAATAAAATGCAATATCCATACATATTTTATGAATTGATCCCCTTTCATTATTGAAAGAATATGCTTTGCTTCTAGTGTAAAGTATCAAACTATTACAAGAAATTATCTGTAACCCGATGAGAGGTTTTCATTTATTTCTTTTTAAAATATTATCAATATATGGTGGAATAAGAAGTAGACTAAGCATTTAAATGAATAGAGACATGAGTTCTTTTGTGGAAGAAGCCTGTGTCGGCTATGTAGCTATTATACGGTCCTGGCCTAAAAAAATGTTTTACGAACAACTGACATTATTGTATAAACTTATAATATAAACAGCTTTTTGTCTTTGTAAACCACATGTGCCAGAGTATTCCAAAGTAAAGATACAGCTTTGAGTAAGCCAATGTTGAAAGAACTACATTTGCATAAACTTTACTGATGCATGTCTTGAAATCGTCTATACAAGTCGACATCAGAGATAGAGGTTATTGCTGATTCAAATGTGACATATGGAGCGCTCTGGAACCATTTCGTCACAGCAACGTTTCAAAGAGCCTGCAGGGACTGTGAGTTTGGCTTCGTCAGGAACAGGGAGCTCCTTTCATGGCAAAAAACAGTGGAAACTTTGTCCTAAGGAGTCCGTCACGCGCTTCATATGTGTTCTTGGCGGAAGGAGTGAAGTTTGAGCGCTCCAGCGTCGCCTTACAAGTACGATGAATGAATCAATGGGTGAATGTGGAGGTCATGTGATAACTAAAATGATTCTGCTTTGGAATGTATTCAAAATTGAGAGTACAAAATTTAGAGACAATTAAGATTTGGTAAGTAATGGCTTGTAGAATATTTGTTTATAGTGTTTAAGTTAAGTTGAATAAGCTCAATAAAGGCAAATTTTATCATGTAAAGTTCTACATACTGTATAGCAGCAGAGAGAGATGGAAACTTTAGACCTTCCAACCATACGGGAAAATACAATGTTTCAAAAGTAATAACACAGTATAGTCCCACGGTGATTGCTGTGCCATGCTCCCATAACTGACCTTAAGATATATATCTCGATGAAAACTACTTGGCCTACACGACTAGATAAAATGTCACTTTTAGAGTAACGGCCAATGCATGAACTGGTGCCACATTGTTGGAATGTTGACACAACTGGTTGAATGTGTCTCCAGCTCAGACGCAGTGGTACAGCGGCACCATGAGCGGCACATGTCCCTGGTTCCATTACTGACATGTGAGAAATTCATGAAATGTGATTTGCACTGTGCACATCTGATTGTAAACTATGCACAGAGCCATGTGGGATTTCATATATTCTATTTGTATGATTGCATAATAAGCATTTGAGAATATGCCAGTAATGACACTTTGACTAAGACTGCAACATTTGACCCATTGTTTCCTGAGTTTTCACTCAGGCTTCTCCTCATGGGAAATACTCAGGAGACCTGACTCCTGCTGGCTCCTCTGGAGGAGTAGCGACTCTACTCCTCTCCTCTCCTGTGAATTTTTGAAGTCACTCGTTTAAATGAATGGGGCTCGTGCCGGCTGACGCATGCGCAGATGCATTTTTTCACATTGTCCAGCCCCTGCGGCCATTTTGAATCACTCCACGAAAGCCCAATTTTTGGCCCATTAGTTAGAACGACGGAGATAGGCGTGACTACGTCCGTTAATACTGTATAAACAGTCTATTCTAAATACAAACAAGAAAATACTCGCTGGTTTGGCTTGGCCTCGTGAGGGACACGACACTGGGACTGAGAAGGTCCTCAAAGTATTCTTTCCCCACTCAAGATCAACAACTCTTTTTGAAGAGTCCTTCAAACAGAGGACAATCCTTCACTTCTCTGAGATACTGGATGTTTTGCCAAAATACCTTTGGGGCCGGCAAATAGCTTCATGATCTCTGCGACTACCTCTCAGCCCCCAGGTGGCATCGGTCAGCAGCCAGTTAAACCAAACAGTCCAACTATTCTTTGACTGTTTTTAAAATAGTTTAAATTGTGGTTCTTTTAGAGCTGTCACCCGCCTTGGTGATGTGTCATTTATCAGCCAATGTTACTTCCTGAGTAGGCGTGGTCAGCCTGATTGACCTCACAGGTCACACACAATGACCATGCTCCCTCTCCTGGTGGTCTCTGGAGGAAGGCTCCCTTATCTTGAGTGGTGCCGTTGTTACCCCTCTTTCTGCTTTCTTGATCCAGTGTTTGTATTTATTGTTTTCAGATCCGATGAGAAATAATATGGGCATACAAGTTAGATGTATGACTGTCTTTCAGAAGAACCACAAAAATAAATTTTAACTCCAGACCAAATTAACTTTTTTTAGTTATCCTTGAGACTCTATCTTCTACTTTACAGAATCCCATGCTCCCACAGCGCCGCAAATGGCGAAGGGGCACACTCTCTGCCAAAACAATTTCCAAGTGGTGACTTTTGGTTGTTACTTACGTGGCAATAAAAATGATTCTCTCACATGTATGAGACTGAGCAAGGCAACAAGCTGCTGCTTTTGGATTCACTACCCCTGGTCCCTGGGGTCGGTGATTGTAGGAGACCTTTACAATGCACTTGGGCCTTCTGTATTTGTCTGGCTTCCTCCTCTGCCAACATAACCAACTCCCTACAGGTTGACACTTTGGGCCATCTCCAATACCGGCATAGAGCGAGTGTGGAAGGAGCTTTGGTGCCATGAAGCTGAGAGAGAAAACACAACTTTAAGATATCTTACTCCACGCCTATAGTTAACAGCAAGCCTTAAAACCCAGGCGCTATGAGTCAGCCAAAAGCCCTGGATTCACACACACAGAAAAAACATTCCAGCCTAAGCGTTTCCATGGCAACAAGCAGATCGGACCCACATCTGGTTGCCATTTCAGTCCCTACGAGAGGAAGAAAGAAATTTATGAGTGAGAGTGAAAAAGACAAATATTTTCTGCAATGCAAAGCAGAAAGAAAGTATGCTCAGGTTACACTTGAAAGAACTTCGTAATACTGTATAGTACAAATTAGTGACGTTTTTGGTTTTTATGTTATATATAAAAAAATGACTTTGTTTTTTGTATAATTGTGTAAAGTGGACATTAAGTGAAGCAACTATTTTCACCTGCAATCATTCTGAATGTTACTATGACATAAAACTGGTAGAAAAAGCATGTTTTATAGTTGTGGTCACCTCGGCTTCCCAGATATTCCACAGTGTTGCTTTTGGTTTTGGAGGTAACACTTTCATGTGACCACTATTATAACTTTCAGGGTAGATGATTCACTGTCACCTTATATTTATTATTATCATCATATTTGAAGTTAACAACACATATCTTGATGTGTTGATAGCCAAAGTGAAGGATAGGAGGAAGGAACATTTTCTATTTTCAAGTGCATGCAACGGGAGCAAAGCCATCCAATGCTAAATCTTAGACTATAAACAAATACTAGCTGTTGGTCCAGACCACTTGGTAATACATTGAAATACAAACAAATAAATATTTGGTATCATGTATAACTTTACATTTACAGTAGATAATCCCTGAGTGGCACAAAGGCCTCACAGCAAGAAGGTCTCAGGCCTAACAGCAAGGTCACAGGTCCCATGTCGGC